ATTTTAAGATATTGCAAGTTTTTTTCAAGAGAATTTGGTACAAGTGATCGCCGGAAAGAGTTAGTGATTTGCGTCTTCAATTATTAAATTCTAAATCTATTTTTTTCTTATTAAACATTTTTTTTTTAATTTGTTTTTTATTTTTATACCATGAAAATGACCAACGTTTTTTTTAAAATATAGAAAGAAATACCATTTAAACTAGAAGTATTATTTTTTTGTAATCTACGATTTTTGTTATTTATATTATTAGATCCATCTCTTAAATTACATTTCCTATTATCAAGTCTGTTTCTGTTAATATGATCTATACAACTCCATTCAGGATGTAATAATCGATAAAATTTTAATAATTTATATTTAGAATTTTTATAAATACTTGTTTCAACATAATAATTATTTTCTTTTTTTTTGAATAAACTATGTATGATCTTTAATATATTTAAAATATTTAAGATCTGTTATAATTGTAAATCTTGACTTTTGAGTCTTGATTTTAAGATATAATTTATGATTAATTTTTATCAATCGATATTCATTAAGTTTTAATTTTGGTTTATTAGGATTTTTATATTTTTTCTAATTTGTAATTATTTCAAAAATATCAGACATATTTTATTTAAAAGTTAGAATAAATTTACTTACTTATAAATAAAATTAATTACTAATAATCCTAAATATGAGATAATATCTCATTTAAACCCTGAGATAGAGTTTCGAAGAAACTCTATCAAATAAGATTTGTAACTACGTTACATATCGATATGAAAGTAAGAGAGAAACATAAAATAGAAATACTGCGTATTGAAGTATTTCTATTTTAAGCCAACAGTATAACATAGCGTAGTGAAGTGCTATTGGCTAGTTTCCCTTCACTTTCATTAGAAGGATACAAATATAAAAGTCAAGATCTACAATCCAAAAACTCTATACATTTAGGTTATTTTTTTGTTAATTTTTGGTGTAATAATAAAAAATAACTATACTGGGAGAAAGTTAATATTAAATTTGTGAAAAACCTATAAGAATCATTTATGTTTCATGAAAAATGGTCATGTGCAAGAATATTTTTTCGTAAAAAAATAAAAATTTAATCATGTGATTGAGATGCAGTAAGGCGTAGTAATGATAAAAATATGGCATTCACTAATTAAAAAGTGATATAATTCACATGATTAAAAAAATTCATTTTAATCACAAAATTAACACATCAAAAAATTTCAAAATAAAAAAAAAAAATAAAATTAATAATAAAAAGAAAAAATAATTAATAATATGTTTTTAATAAATAAAAACAATTTAGGTATTTATTAATTTAAAATGTCTGGAGGTGATAAATTTTTACATATTTGTTATACATCATATCATTATTATGAGTATAAAGGATTGTTCAAATGTAAACAAAGAAATAAGGAATCTCCAGAAAAAAGAGATAAATTAAATAAGGAAGATAAAATTCCTATTTGTGATTTATGTAAATTAAAACATTTTAGATGTAAAGGAAAGAAATGTAGGAATTGTTGTAAAAAAAATGCATGTAGAACATATCCTTGTAATTATTGTTTGGAAAATAATCTTGATTATAAGTATAGTATTATACAAAGTGAGAAGGAATTTAATAAATTTTAAAAAAAAGGATTGAAAGCACAACTTGAGAATACTAAAAAAGGAAAAGTTCATATTCAAGGATATTGTCAATTTAAAGACAGGATAACAAGAAGAGATTTGAGAAAAATTTTTATGAATAATACTATTTGGATTCCAGAAAAAAAAAAATAAGAGGTAAAAAAAAATTATTATTTTAAAAATATATACAAATTAATTACTAATAAGATTATTTTATTTATATATGATATTATAAGTATTAATTGTAAATTATATGATAATATTATAATAATATTAACTTATTATTTATTTTTATTTTACAGAATTTAATTTATATGTATATTTACAATATTGTGAGTATTTATTATTTTTATAAACAAATCAAAACTAAGTGCAATAGATAAATTAATAATTCGAATAAAATATAAAGATATGAATAAATTAATAGATTAGTAATTAAATAAAAAAAAAACAAATGAAAAGAAAAGAATTATATAAATATTCATTGATTCCATTCTGGAATCAGAAAGCAAAAATGATATCTGATAGGTTATGGTTATCAGAAAAACATGATCTTAAAACATCAAATCTGAATTCAAATTCTTGATTAAATATCAAAAAATCAGAACAATTATCAGTAAAGAATGTATATATTCTAATAATAGAAAAACAACAACAAATTAATAATTCAGAAAATAATGATGATTTAAAAACTAGAAAAATATATATATTTCCAAACAAACAAGAAGAACAAATATTAAAAAGATAGATCAGTACAGCAAGATGGACTTATAACTAATGTTTATTATTCTTAGATGATATTAAGGACATTGGAACTAAAAAGGAAAAGATACAATATATAAGACAGAAATATATAGTGTCTAGTAATTATAAAGATACTAAATTATCATGGGTTATCAATACACCAAAAGTGATAAGAGATGTAGCATTGATGGATCTCTTCAAAAATATCAAGTCTAATCATGTATTGAAAAGAGTAAGGTTTGTTTTGACGAAATGAACAAAAAAAGATATAAATTAATCAATAATTATACAAGTTGAGAATTTCAGATGTAATAGAGGAGTGTATAATTTTGTAAAAAGAAATTTTACCAGAAATCAAATATGCGGTTAATATCGTCATGAATAAATTAAAGCATTTTTATATTTGTATTCCTACCAATATTGAAAAGTTTGAAGTTACAAATGAAGATATTGTTTCTTTTGATCCTGGTGTAAGAACTTTGTTGACAGAATATGATCCAAAAAGAAATATACTTGAATTTGGAAACAATGATATTGAAAAGATTAAAACAAGATGTAAAAGATATGATAAGTTGCAGAGTTTTCTTAGTAAAGAAAAGAACAAATAGAAAGTATTTAGGATGAAAAGATCCATGCATCAAATATGTTTTAAGATTAAGAACTTGATAAAAGACTGTTATCACAAGATTGTAAGATATATTTGCAAGAATTATCAGACTATGTTGTTGCCAAGATTCGAAATCCAAGATATGGTATGCAACACAGATCATGATCATAAGATATCTGGCAAGACTGCTAGAAACATGTTGATATAGAGTCATTACAAGTTCAAAATATTTCTGAAATATAAGATCAGAGAATATCCAGATATAAATCTGATTGAATATACAGAAGAATATACCAGCAAGACGCAAATCACTAACTCTTTCCGGCGATCACTTGTACCAAATTCTCTTGAAAAAAACTTGCAATATCTTAAAAT